CGTTTAAATCAATTAATTCCATTAAAAAATGCATAGCAGTGTATAGTAATGTGTGTTTGTTGCCGCAGGTCCATATAATATTAAAAAAATAGGCGGTACATGGTACGCGGTTCCCTAGTTGCCTAGTTAGTTACTATTAGTTACTGTACGGCATACCGCCCTCCATGTAATTACACTCTAAAGCACTTGAGTACTTGCAGCGGCCATGTTGGAATTGAGACGTCAAAAGCAAGAAATTTATGTTGCATGCCATCTATAAATAAAGACAATTTGGATAAATCTAAATGACAAGAGCACTTTAAAATACTTGTAAAAATCAACAAAAACTGTTCTTTCCTCCCTTGGACATTTATAAAAGGCAGTGAGCCTATATTCGGGCATACGGTTGATAATTATTGAAACAAGTGAAAAACGCTTTTACGTATAAAATTCCAAGATAACTTTAATTTTCAACGATACTTACGACTTTAGGCTATGTTCCAAAACATCTTAGAAAAAGATTTTACTCTATATACTATAGTATACATCACATATATTATATATTTCGATAAAATTTTCCTCGGAGAGGAAGTTTTGGAACGTAACCTTAATAAATATGAAACAAGTTACATTTTCACAAGTCACATTAAGCAAATAATAACGAAATGGTATGCAACATAACAAATTTTATCGACAAAACGTCATTTTTCCACGTCTATAAGTTCAGCTATTTATCGTGGTGTAGCGCTATAACACACACACATACACACACACACACACACACACACACACACACACACACACACACACACACACAAGTAGAGCCACTGTAATAAAGGCCGCAGCACAGATTTTTGCATAATGCATAACGCACAATGCATAAGCGAATCAACTAATCAGAATCTTTCCTTTCCTCTCATTCCATAGAAAAGAAGGATTTCAATTGGTTGATTCCCTTATGCACTATGCATTAAGCGTTATGCGAGAGTCTGTGCTGCGGCCATAAAGCGGGGAGCATAACATAACGCATAACACATAATGCAGAAAATAAACCAATCAAAGTTCTTTATTTTCTTTTTTCCAAGAAATAAAAGACTCTGATTAGTTAATTTTCTTATGCTTCATGTTTTATGCAAGAATCTGTGCTTCCCGCTTAAGAGTCGAGACAATAGACTGGAAGGACGCCATTGCTGGGACGTCGTTTACACAACTCACACGTACAGAATATGTTACACAAACTCACGTTTTCACTAATCATCGCATGGTCCCAGATATGGCGATCAATCCCAAGGGCAAATCGCTGTTGTCTTAACTCTTAGACTGCGTTCGATTTGCACGCTCACACGCTGTAAATGCTCATGCTTATAAGTGTTGTTTTTTGGTTTAATTTGGTTTGTCAGTGCTCACATTAAATAAATGAAGTCATTCATTTTGGTTATTAAGTGTTAAGCTTGGATACGTAATTGATGATTATCATTGATTATAATTGACCGTAAGTAATTCATTTCTTATATATTAAAAATAAAAATTTATGAAATTTTAATAAATATCTGTTTAAAATAATATCAATGAGATATTTGCTTATAGCAAATAAAAATTTATCCAATAAAAAATAATATTTTGATTTAAGTATTATTTCTTAAAATAAACATTTATTTATTGTAAGCA